GAACAGCATTTAGAGCTCTTGTACATAGGGTCGCTATGAGTTGCAAGCGACTCGATGGCACATAACAACAACAACAACAATCCTTTTCTGAGCTGAATTGACCAAGGGAAACATAGAGCGTATTGTCAGCCAGAAAAAAAGCATGGAGTCCCTGTGGACACCAGACCCCAGATTTCAGTCAATTGTCTGTTCTACTGGAAGAAATGACTTTTGAGTATATCTTGTCACATTTTCCACGGCCATTTTTCTTAAAGTAGACAAAGCAAAGTTTGTGTTCAGCTTCAATTTACTACTAAATTGATTATAAACAAAAGACAGCAATGTTTGTCAAATCTATCTCTTTTCCCCCCACCTCCATTATCTTCACTAAGAGAATAAGGACATAAAGATCAATTATCCAGAAGTTTAAGAGAGATAAGTGTGCAAAGAACTGGCATCTATGGAAATGTGTATCAGAGGCTGACTGTTGCTACTGGTCCTATCTGAAGCTCTGGTGTAATCCCAGAGGCACATGGTTCAAATCCACCAGCTGCTCTGCAGAAGAGGGATGTGAACTCTTCTCCTTGAAAATTTACTGCCTCTGAAAACCCACTGGAGGATCATCTATGGCCTGGTTCCAACTCGACGGCACACAACAACAGCAATGCCATCAGTCTTATATTCAGCACTGTGAGAGTATCTGGAAGTTCAAGCCAATAGCTTTAGTAAATAATGCCAAAATGCTTTATGTGGGATAGAATATAAATGTGTCTGTCCTTGTGACTCAAACCATTTCTTAAGCCTTACCTAAGATCACCTGAACATGTGTTAATTTTTAAACCATTACCATTACTTGAGTTGACCAAATAAAGGGTCAAACACTCATTGCTGTGGAGTAGGAACCAACTCACAGCTGAGTCTCCAGCATGTTTTCAGAGACTGTAAATCACAGGGTGGTAGTTTGCTCACTTTTCTCCCACAGAACTACTGGCAGATTCACACTGCCAGAGAGGCATAGTCTTTGGTTAATAGCAAAGCTCCCTATCACCAGGCTACCAGAGTTTCCTGAGAAGAGAGTCAAGTATGGTGGTGGTGGTGGTGTTGTATACTGTGAAGTCAGGACCAATTAAGAGCTGACCCTCCAGGGGGGTTTTCAGAGGCAGTGACTCACATGGGAGTTGTCGGACCACCTTTCTCCTGTGGCGCAGCCGGATGATTAAAACTACATGCCTAGGGAGCTCTGGTGGCCTAGTGGCAAGAAGCTGCACTGCAATCCCAGAGGTACGTGGTTTAAATTCACCAGATGTTCTGCTGAAGGAGAGGCAATCTCCTCCTGTACCAGTCAGATCTGATTTGATGTTATACACACACACACAAAAAAAGGAAAAAATGTTTAAAACTATAAGCCTTATGTTGACAGTGCAATTCCTTACCACCAGGCCAGCAGAAGTCCCTAAAGTATGATGGTGATAACTAATCCACCTTTGCCAAAGCTATGGAAAATGAATTACCAAAGGACTAAAGTAGCCTATGTTCTACGATTTGATTAATTATGCCACTGTTTTTACTTTCAAAAAGTCTTAAGAAAACTGAAATTTATGTAATTTAACAGAAAAATTAACACAATATCACAAGTACTTCAAAGTATTTTGGGCATATGTGAACTCACTACAGGGCTCCAACCAGATCTCCGTGACTGATAAAATATAAAGGGTTAAATTACAATCACATTATTAAAGTGGGAAATAACTGTTGAAAATAGGAGCTCTTCAGAACTAAGATCACTGTGGATTAAGATATACCAGTCACCCAACAGATCACTTATTCTTTCTAAGTTTATGCACTCACTCTTCACTCATTGGGATGGTTAGGTTCCAAAGACCAAGTCCTAAAACCATCATTGGTAGTTGAAAATGGAGGATGATCATATCCGATTGTTAAAAGGAGGATTACTACATGGTCCTTAACTGTCATTTATTGTGCCATTGCATAACTGTCAAACCACTGAGATTCTTGACCCACGGAAACGGACACAAACTTGAATAATTACACCCATTGTTACCTTCACTTGGTACTTTGGCTTTCATTACTGCCAGATACACATCATTAATGAGCAAATTAAACAGATTTTTCACTATTGTCATAAAGGCAGAAGGTAGTACAACAAGATAGTTGATAAGTGAAGAGTAGGTATGTATAAAGGATTCAGATGTCCTGGAAAATAACTATCTAGTGAACATTCTTAAAATGTTGTTGTTGTTGCTGTTGTTGTTGTTGTTGTTATGTGCCATCGAGTCATTTGCAACTCATAGAGACCCTATGTACAACAACCCTAAACCGTGCTCTATCCTGTGCCAATCGCACTGCCTCTGACACACCCATCCCGATTATACCAGTCACTGAATCAATCCACCTCATAGAGGGCCTTCCCCTCTTGCGCTATAGCTTCCATGAATTAACTCCTAAGGCTTCTACCTAGTCAGTAAAAGTACTCCCCCCTGTAGGCAGAGGGGCACCACTAGAAAGAAGCAGATATGTTTGTATATTTTAATCTACAAGAAAATATATTAATACACATTGTAGTATTTATCATGATGTTTATACTGAGTAGACCTCTAAAAAGAGGCTTTTACTGATCTTCTAATTAAAGTATGTTTGTATATTTTAATCTACAAGAAAATATATGCGTACACATTGAAGCGTGCATCAAGATGTTTATACGGAATAGATCTTCTCTAAAAAGAGGCTTTCACTGAACTGCTAATTAAACTCTGGATATTTATAATTACTACTTACCATTTTGAGCATTGACTGCATTACTGAATATGTTAATTCCTTTTGTAACAATTTCAGTCCTATGTTAGAAGGAAACTGAGGCTCAGATATCTTAAGTGACAAGTTCAAGACCACACAGGCAATCTATCAGAGCTGAGTTCTATGGCTGGATTTGTTTTACATTCTAATCTGTGCAATTAATCTCTAGGATACACTTTTAAAAAGCACACTGTGAAATGAAAAATGTAAGGGTGGGAAACATTTTGGTTTTGCTAAGCACTTTACTTTAGATCTGGATGGCAAATCTGAATTTATTTATGCAATGGGCCCAAGACCATGATATCATCTACTTACCCATCCATCTTCTCTGTCTTCCCATAGGTAAGTATCATAACTACTGTCTCTCAACTACAGTTTCTTTGTAAGAAATGATGATTGTAAGACTCTAACTCGAAGAACCTTCTAAGCCCCTCACCCAGAATTGTCTGTTTAGAGTTAAGTGAGCCGTATACCTCTGACAACAAAGTCCCAAGAGCCTTGAAGTCACTCGATAATTTTGCCAGCTCATCTCCTTGTTTTTCAGCTTCCTTCTCAGAAGAAACTTCAATCAGAATCTTAAGCCGGGATTTCAGCCAGCTGAGTGCCTCTTCTTTGTGGGTAATGCCATTTCTGATCTCCTGGAGAACAAGAAAGCATACTTTTGATTAAAAAAAAAAAAGCTTGAATTGCAAGACACAGCTTTCCAACACGAAAGTCCTCAACATACGAAGGGTGGCAAGGTAGAGACAAGAAAAGCAGACATTCAGTGCCAACAGAATATTTGTTCACTTTACCTTTGTGCACATCTTCAACAAGTGACAAATGCTAAAAAGAAATGGCTCCAGGTTATCAACACCACGCCCTGGCTCTGACTCACGGAAACCCTCTAGGACAGAGCAGAACTGCCCGTAGGTTTTCCAAGGCTAGAATCTTCTCCCACGGAGCAGCTGATGAGTTCAAACTGCTGACCTTTAGGTCAGCAGTCTGAATGCTTATGCTATAGTGCCACCAGGGCTGCACCCCAATACTGGCTGCATAAAATCCATGCTGTCTACACAGAAAAACACAATTATCTTTGCAATTGGATGGCAGGACATTGAACTACCTCCTCATACCAAAGATTGCTCCCAAAAATACTTCAGAAAAAAAAAAAAAGAAAATACTTCAGAAGACACGGAGACATGAACTTTAAGAATTTAAGGCTCTCTGGATTGCAAAATGAGGACGCATAAGGCTCTCTGGTGGGGTGGGGTGTTGCTTATCAGGCTGCTAATGAGAAGAAGGTCATCAGTTGGAATCCACCAGCTGCTCCATGGAGTCAGAGCCTCTGAAATCTGACGGAGGGTTGCTATGAGCCGGAGTTGACTTGATGGCAGTTGATGGGTGAACACAGACCATGCTATGTGATCTCCTGTACCCTGAACTAGAAGTGACATAGTGTATTTTGTGAAAAGGATCATAGAATCTTTTTGTTAGGTGATTTCATTGGCAGAAGAGTTTTCTTGCCGCGTATTGTTATAAAAGCTCTACAAATTTATTTTAACCTCGTTAGCTTGCATCTTGTGTTAGGCTTTGGTTAGCTTTAGAGATTTGTATCCCAGATATCAAGATCCACAAGCAGGAGAACACCTCGAAGCCCAGGAGGGAAGGTCCAGCCACCAACACAAAGTCAGACACATCCCGCATCTCCTTCCTCAGGGCTGGTGTTAAGAGGAATGGCCGCAGGCAATTCTCACCTTCCTACGCCAGTTCCAAGGGCATGCTGGGCCAGAGGTCAACACACACACACACACACACACACACACACACAAACACACACACACAGACATGGACACAGAGGACCTTGTTATGGGGCAAATGCAGTGGGAAGTGGTTGACATTTTCACTCTAAGATGGGAACAGTCTATGTACTGTAACAGCAACTAATGACAAGTTGAATGTTCCTTCTGTAGAACCCTATTATGGAATGAAACCAATTTCAAATGTTTGTCACCCAGATAATGTGTTAGAGTGGAACCATCCTCCAACAGCATTTTCAAAGGCTGATGGTTCACAAGTTGAAGGTCATGTCTTTCCTCTCATGACGCTTCACTGTGGACTTGAATTTCCACCTTTTAAATTAGCAACCAAGTGTGCTAACAATTTGCACTATTCTAGGAGCCCCTTTCCGGTTTAGCAGAGTCATGAGATCATTTACTAGGGAAAAAAGAGTCCCGGATGATAGGAGTGGAACAGAAAAAAATTCTTCTTAACTGCAAACATGTGACTCGCAGTATGCTGAAAGAGAAAGCGTTTTCACAATTAGATAGTACCTGGCTACAATCAGGGACCAGAAAATCCAGGATGCTGTTGTTAGGAGCTGCTGAGTCAAGTATCAATCACAGTGACCCGATGAACAACAGATCCTGTTCTGTGCCAGCCTCACACTTCTTGACCACGAGAGCCCATTGCAGCAGTCGCCGTGTCAGTCCACCTTGTTGAGGGTCTTCCTGTCCTTCTGCAACCCTCCACCCTTCCCAGCATCATGTCCCTCTCCAAGGAATAGTACCTCCTAGCAACATGCCCAGGGTATATAAAACGAAGAAACGGATAAAGGGTAAGAAAATGTGGAGCAAAGTTCAAAAGCATAAGAATGTTAGACTTTCATGACCCAATGGAAATAAATGAAATCCCTTAGACTATGACTTGCTCCTTAACCTTTGAACATGGAATAAAACTTAACCGGTGGTTTAACTCTCAGGCAGACAACGGACAGGATGATAGAGTGACCAGGAGCGCCAGGGAAGCACTCGCTCTGCAGAATAACCAAGCCTAGTAGGTTAGGAGATCAGCATCTGCTGGTGGCTAATTCCTGAAGGCAGGAAGAGGAGCGTAGCAGGACCGATGGGAAGGGGCACTATGAGGACGTAGCAGGAAGAGTGTGAGTCTGTCCAAGGTACTGTCATAAATATAACAGAGGAAAATGTGTATGAATGAGTGCAGGAAAAACCAACAGGCTTTGTGAATGTTCATTCAACTCACAATCAATCAATCAATCAATAAATCTTAAAAAAATACCCCACAAAAGTGTGTCAGTATGCATAGGGTCTAGAAAGCCCAGTCATGAGGGAGGGAGAGGGTTGCTGCAGGCCGCTCACAGAAAGCAACCTGTGTCACAAGTCCTGCTATCATGGCTGGATGTACCAGATACACAAACTTCACCGAGGCTCACCTGAACCAGCCAAGGCTAAACTTGGTGTGTACTGGATGCTTCAAGACCCTTTCAAGTCTCTGAACTTTTCTCTTTTTTTCCTATTAGGTTTTCAATAACTTCACCTTGCTCAGATACACAATCACACTCTTGGCACCAACAGTCAGGAAATCAAAAGATGAGTTTGCACGAGGAAAATCTGCTGCCAGGGATCTCTCCAGAATGCTAAAGAGCAATGATGTCAGTGTAGAGACTAAGGTGTGCCTGATCCAGGCCATGGTCTTCTGATCTACTTGCTACGCATCTGAGAGCTGAATAATGAAAGGATGAGAGAAAAAGAGTTGATGTCTTTGAGCTGTGGTGCTGGAGATGAGTATTGAACATACCACAGACTGCCAAGAGAACAAAGAGGGTACTGGAGAGGGTGAAACCAAGTTGTTCCTTGGAGGGCAAGGATTTTGAAGCTGTCTTGTATATTCTAGGCATGTTTCCAGGAGAGGAGATGTGTCCTTGGAGTAGGCCATCATGTTTATAATAGTAGAGATCCAGCACAGAATAGGAAGAGCAAGACCCTGGATGAGATGGATTGACATTGACTGTGGCATGGCGTTAATGAAGCATGTCGGGGAAGTTGAAGTTGGCTGAGGATCAGACAGGGTTCAGAGCCATTGTTCATGGAGTTTCTATGAGTTGTCATTGGCCCATCAGTACATAACATCATTAGCGTTATACTGAGATTTGAGTGGAAGCTTAAAGAGCACATTGGTTTTCCACTAAACAATTCCCACTCAGTGATTACAACCCTCTCAATGTAATAACACTCTTTTCCACGTCCTCCCTGGGTTTTCCATTTCAATTTGTCTTTCTTTCCTATCCTTTCCTGTCTTCTAAGCTTTACTCCATCTTAGCCTTCTAAGGTGGCGTAGGGGTAAGAAGCTGTGCTACAATCCCAGTGGCACGTGGTTTGAGGCCACTAGCTGCTTTAAGGGAGAATGGTGGGCAATTTCCTCCTGTGTAATTAACTGCCTCTGAAAACCCACAAGAGGACCAGTTATGGATTGGTTCTGATGGTATAGTACATGGCAACAACAACAACAACAACTAGCTGTTATGAAGACTAAGGTGTGCCTGGCTCAGGCCATCATCATTCGGATCCCTTATCAAGTATCTGAGAGCTGGACAATGAATAAGGATGACAGAAGAATTGATGCCTTTGAGTTGAGGTGCATGGACCTCCGAAAGAACAAACATGCATGTTTTGGAGAGACTGGAGCCAGAGTGTTCCTTGGAGGCAAATATGGCAAAGCTTTGTCCTTCATACTTTAGACATGTTGTTAGGAGAGGTTATTCCCTGGAAAGAGAAATCATGCTTGGGAAGGTGGGAGGGTCATTGAAAGACAGGAAGACCCTCAGTGAGATGGACTGACATGGTGACTGCAGCAATGGGCTCACATGTGTCAGAGATGAGGAGAATGGCACAGGATAGGACAGGGTTCAGGTCTGTTGTTCAGGGGGTCGCCACGAGCCTTCCTTGACCTCATAGCACCTGACAACAACAGAAACCACAAGTTTGACTCCTGAGCAAATGTTGCCTTTTGCTCTTGCACGGTTGACTCTGCTGAGGTGAGCATTCTCCCGCTGCCACAGCTCTGATCATGGGCCTGCCTGTTGTTAGTCTGAAGGTTGAGACTTGAGGACAATCTTAATTCTTAGTTGGAAGACTGACAAAGGGCCATTGTCTTGGAGTTCTATCAATGTGATCCAACATTCAAATGGCTAAACATTAATTAACACCAAATTTTCTTATTTTCTCTGGCAATTCTCAAACCTCTGCTGTGTTAGACACCCATGCATGCAATTTTCCTCCCAGGATTCCCCATTTAGCTCAAGATGTATAGGAGGCACCAGGAACATGACTAAATCCCAAAGTTACCAGTAATTCAATGAGGGGGGGGGGGAAGAATCCCCTACAATTATACACAGCACGAGGAGATTTATTTTTAACACTCTTTTGGAAACATTTTTTTTTCCAAGAAAGATGAACAGACACCAGTTAGCACGTCTTTCATTACTTTTTAGTTACTGAAAGATGTCCAATAACACAAAACTGTGCCTATAACTCACCTCCACCACGCGTTTCACCTCACCGTGGTTGGAAGTATCTAGGACTCCATCTTTAATCTCCTTCAGCTGGGTTTCTTGGGCTGATATCCAGGAGGAAAGCTCAGAGAATCTAAAATAACACAAGTTTCTTTGTTATGAGTGTTCTACTCTGAAATCAACCGCAGAAATTTAACCATCAAATGATTATCAATTTGATCCACAAAATTCCCGAAAATTCACTCAACCATGGAGGTCAGGACATGAGTGACCCCTGTATGCTGAGTTACCTGGAAGGAAGAGAAAAAGGTTAAGGAAGAGTTCAAGGAGGGGAAGGCTTTACCCCAAGGTGTGACCTCTGAACCTCTGCTCATAAAAAGGCTCCACCAAGGTTGGCCTCACATAGCCTCACTCTGGTGAGGCTCTAACTCCAAGAAGTGGAAGTTTCCCCAAAGAAATTATAACTGCCACCCAAGTGGATAATATGCACACCCATGCTTATCGCGGCTTTGTTCACAATAGCAAAGAGTTGGCAACAACCTAAGTGCCCATCAACAAACAAATTGATAGAGAAGTTGTGGTATACTCACACAATGGAATACTATGCTGCATTGAAAAACAAGAACTCACGACATATTATACAAAATTGATGACCCTGGAGCACATTATGCTGTGTGAAATATCTCAGTCACAAAAGGACAAATACTGCATAACACCACTGTTGTAAAATGGGACTGACATTGGGGTTAGGGGGAGACTGAGAAAGATGGGATAAATTATGTATACTGCATTAAAACAGGTGAGGGAGAGAACTGTTTAAAGGGAATATATGATTAGGTATTATTGTCATGACAGGAGTCCAGAACAAAGGCTGCATAGTGGAGTGGAACTGAGGGAAGGGATTGTGTAACAATGAAAGAATTCTTCTTTTACTTTTCAAAGAGAAGAGTGAACTGGGGCGGGGCGGGGAGGGGGTTTGGGCAAGGTAAAAAGTGCAACATTGAATGAATTGAAATCATAGTCTCTGCAAACTTTCATTTAAATTAATCAATGAAAAATATTTTTAAAAAGGAAGTGGAAGTGTCTAATACCATGGGGGATCTGAGGGAACCTAGAAGAAAGATCGTGACCCAAGTTTGTTTCAGTGAGGATTTGGTTCTCTGGAAATAGTGTGTCTCACCTGGTTTCTGTCTAAAACCAATATCTTCTTTCAATTTAGTATTTTTTTTATAAGACCAAGGGGAAGATCAAATGAAATAAGTATTCCTCGTAGACCAATGGTTAAGTATTTGCCTGTTGACCTAAAGACTGGAGGTTCAAACTCTTAGGAGTTCTGTGGGTGAAAAGACCTGGTGCTTTTCTTCTGTAGCAACCTGGAGACCCTCCAGACAAGTTCTACCCCTCCCCGGAGGGTCCCTATGAGCTGGGATCAACTTGACAGCCACAACAGCCATTCTATCTGAATGAAGAGAATTCAGAGCAACCCGTCCTCACTCTGGTAGCACCAGTGACCCCTACCTGCTGGTGTAGTCCCTCCATTTGTCGGGGTCTGCCATGAGTTTCTCATAGGTGCTGTCGATGGCTGCTCTGAGCTCTCTGAGTGTTGCATGGCAAGTCTCAGGAGTGCTCCTCCCCGGGTCCCGTGCAGGCAGCTTCAGACACAGCTCTTCAATGAGCTGCAACCTTTTCTCACAGACGTGGTGAGGACCCTTGTCACTGAAGAATATCTAGTGAGCAAGAAACATTTTGTGTTTTCCTCTACAGGAAGCCATACAGTGTTCTTAAACTTTCACAGGAAACCACAGTGCAGTTTTAGAAGATAGGCAGAAAGAAATGAAGTGTGTGCCTGTCTTGGACTCAAACCAGACCATCAGCCAGTGCCTCAAAGTAACTGTGCCCTTTCAGGCTTCTCCCCGTGGGGCAGGAGACATACCCTGTGCTCCTCAATCATCCTCTCACTGCCTTCCTGGGCCGCCAGCTTGGCCTCTCGGTCCAGCTCGGCTCGACATTCTTCCACGGAAGCCAGGAACAACTTTTTCTCCACATCAATCTTCAGATGAAGCAGATGATAGGGAGCTTCTCCCTGAAGGTCCTACAGCCCGCAGGAAGATGCAGAACGATATTACTAGTTGTGCACTTTTTAATGGAAATGGAAATATGTGTATATATTTCTCTTTCAATATGTGTATATATTTCGGAAATATGTGTATATATTTCTCTTTCAATATGTGTATATATTTCTCTTTCTCTGTGTATAAACACACACACACACACACACACACACACACACACACACCAAACCAAAATCAAAACAACCCTCCTCATTCCTGCTGTGGTTCAGTTCCTACTCATAGTGACCCTCTCTCTACCTGGCTTCTGAGAGTTCTGGTGGCCTAGGGGCAAAAAGCTGCACTGCAAATCTGAAGACACAAGGTTTGAATCCACAAGCTGCTCCACAGGAGAAGGACGGGTAATCTCCTCCTGTGCCTCTGAAAACGAGCTGGAGAGTCAGCTACGGGTTGATTCCAACTCGATGGTACACAACAACAACTTCTTTAACACTCTCACACTCTGTCTCTCTCTCTCTCTCTATATATATATATAGTATCTCCCCTCCCATAAAAAATCCCCACTGCTATAGGGTCAATTCCTACTCATAGGGACCCTCCACTTGGTTACTGAGATACTAAATCTTTACGGGGAAAATATTACTCATCTTTCTCCTATGAAGTGGCTGGTAGATTTGAACCGCTGACTTTTCAATTAGCAGCTGTTACTATACTTCCAGTTAAATGTCTGTATCTCACTACCAGTGAAATATCTGTCTCTATACCTAAACTTATTTCACAGACACTTTATATAGTTATGTAGAACTATTTATTTACCAACATCTTTAACCCCGCAGGTTCCTTGGGAGCCCCTCTCCCAGTGGTGGTGTGTGCTAGTACCCTCCAGAGACTTGTGTAACTTTATGAATCTGAAGCAGACCTCATTTGACCAGCCCAATTACTCTGTAGTCCGCTTGAGATGTAGATATACCAAAATCTATGATAATAAAAAAATATTTTTCCCCTTGATACTAGCCTGCCTTCCTTCACTGAAAAGACATGGAATCAACAACAATTTCAAAGCGGAAAATGTTCTTTTTTCTCCCCCAAAAGGTTGAAAGTTCTAGTTCAAATCAGTTTACTAACTATTCTCCCATACCCAAGCAGATCTATCATC